ACTGTGTTTGCTGCACTCAGGCTCATTCCAGGTTTAATTCTTCTCTACAGAATACATGGTTAATGCATGCAGAGCTCTTAAAACACAAACTTAAGCATAAACACATACTGGACACTTGAGTATTTGCACCAACAGAAACTACTTAACATCATAAATCCAAATTTCCCCAGACACCTGAATGGCTTTAATTCTCCTTATGTGTTGTTTTCAGAAGCAAAAAATTTTGTTCTTACACTCTCTTTATTTACAACAATTCTCTGGGTGTTAATTCTGCAAATAAAATTTATCCATGTTTGAATCTGCTGAATTCAAACGACCTCCAAGCCAGAAAGGGTTTGGTGTCATGTCAGCAAGGACAGCGATTCTGGCTTGCAGGAAACCGTCTGTAATCCTTAGAGAGAATTTTTTTTTGGTAACAGAGACGCAAGAAGAGCATCATAATAGTTTCCAGGAAATGCCGATGTACAAAGATGATGAAAAAATTTACTGCATCTTTAACCTATCCACATGTCCACACGATCATGGATTGTTTTTTTTTCTTCTATACGAACTTCAGTCAGTTGAGTAAGGAGAACTCAGCTAGAAGAAAAGAAGGAAAAAAATTAGTCTCGTGGCAGTTACTGCTGTTCATTGAAAAATAACCGCAAATTAAACCTCCGGCTCAAGGTAGCTGCAGTGTCCTTTTAACCACGTAATACAAACTGTGTCTAGTCCTTTTTAAAATATAAGAATGCTCACGAAGAAGATACTATGTGGGAAACAGTTGCAATATTTCTGTATTTCTATAGGAGCTTTTGTGGTTCTTGCAGGCTATGGATATGTATAGCAGGGTTCCTAGTGGAGTCTTGTTTTCTGTGTGGGTAGCAGAATCTGGAGAAGGAGGGAAATAGAAGGGAATTCAGGAAGGCTGCAGAAAATTTATATTGTGAAGACTGAGTTACAGGGTTGCAGGATATTTTGTCCTGCTGTAGATTTCACTCTTGTTATCTGCATCTTGCACAGTGCTTTTTTTTTAATTGGTGTCTCGTGGAGAAAAAAATATTACTTTAGTAAGGCAGATTGCCTGTTTTCTGTACTTAGCCAGCTGTTCGCCAGGGTAGATCGTTGTGTGAATTTGGGATGATAAATAAAAAGCCTCCCTATTTTCCTCACTTCCATATAGCAAGGCAAATAGAACGGGAAAAGGAAGAAATTCTCTAGAAATCTTCCCAAACTCTTTTCTCCACCAATTTCTAGCAGAACTCGGAAACGTTTCTAGAAACATCCTTCAGAAATTCACCTACCACCTAGCAGCACCGAACCACTTCTCTTAATACCCTTAAAAACCACAACATGGTTGTATTTGATTCTTGCAGTTTGTCAACAAACACATTATTTTTTGTGCAGTAACGGCCCCAGACGATGACGTTGGTCGCAGCTCGTTTGGAAGCTCTGGACAGAGCTGGTTTGAGAATTACTCTGTGTGCTAACAGAAACCAAACGTGCTGATGAGCCAAAGTGAAGCCAACTCTTCTTTTTGCTGCTGAAACTCTGGGAAATGCAAATGTGTGGGTAGTTCACAAATGCAGCTTAGAAACTCAGAGCTGTTTTGGTATGTATAAACCAAATGACGAGTGAATGGGGATGGGTCTCAGGTTGGGTGTGGTAGGTTTTACTGCAGAATTTTCATTTTGGGCTACTATTTCAGTTTTAGCTGAAGAAATAGCTTGTCCTGAGCACTATAAGAGAAAAAGGTTGAAGAAGCAAAAAAAAAAAAATGTTGTTCTTGAGTTAAAGAACAATTTTGTTTGTGAAGCTAAAGAACTTCTCTCTTTGTATAGGAAGTTTATCTGTGCTTCCAGTCATCAACAGTGAGGATTCTGGTTTAGTTTTGTTCTGTTTGTGGGTGAGGAGGAGTGTTTCCAGAGGCATCTGAAGGGTAGTTGGCGGGCTTTTAAATACATGATCATTTTAAGATCATGAATCATCGAATGTACGGAAATCAAAGGGCTGGTATTAAAAATTGATATTTTCTTTTACAAACTGTTAAAGCCAAACAACTGCTGTTTGTTTCCTGATAGAAATCTGCTGGATGAATCCCCAGTGAGTGTACGCCAGTGCTCTAAGTACTCTGAACCGTGAGGGTTCAGAAGACAATTTGTAGTAAGGAAAAGTAAGAGGCAAATATTTTTAACAGGACATTGCTACAGTATTTTCCTCCATCTTTGTGTATGCTTAGTGATTATTAGTTTTATTTGCTTTATTTGTTTTAGCTGAGTTTGATTTTTCTCCCTCCGGTATCCTGTGGAGAAGCCTGCAGCACAGGAAAGTTGTGCAAGTTTGCTGAATGGAAATGTTTGTTGCTTCCCCAAGTGAGTCCAATCCTTTGTGCTCTCTACAGAATTAGTGTAAGCGTTACTCATTTGTCGGTGTGATGGCTTTGTGCAAGAACCCTGAGCTCTCGGAGTTATCACATCGATGGCTGACCGGCCAGCATGTCAGGCAACCTCCTCTAACACAGCGCTACTTATGCTCGCAGCATCCTTGTCCCATTTAGCGTAGGAAATGCCTGCACCATTGCTTTAGAGCGTAATACAAGTGATGACAGAGCCCTCATCTCTTCATAATTGTACAAGCTGGCTTTTTATAACCAGCATCTGCGTTGTAGGTGGCCCATTTGCTTGCTATTAACTTAAGAAGGGCAAAGTTGACAACATACGGCAGTTTCGATCACTGTGGGACTCAGGTGTTCTCTCAGCACAGCGTAAACGCTTGGAGACATGGGGAGAAGATCTGATGGAGAATGTTGTTCTGTAGAATCATGCAAGCTGAAAAAAATAATACAAGAAAAAAAACTAAACAAAAATCAGAAAAATCGTATTAAAAGCAACCTAAATCCCTCTAGCTTCATGCATAGCAGTGGAGTGTGGTGAATGCTTATTCAATTAGTCTGTACTCGAGCTTGCTGGTGGCTCTGTAAGCACATGCCAACAACATTTTAAAATGTAGGAGATGGGACCAAAGGAAGGGGAGGATAAACTTCACTCTGTAATATCAGCTGCTGGAGAGGAAAAGGAGACAGTGGAACATAAGTAGATCAGGGTACCAGGATGTCTGTGCTCAATTTTTAGAAAGATTTTGCCACATGGATGGGAAAAGTGCTGTAGAAATGAAGTTCTTTACTTCCCTTTTTTGTCTTTAGTGGTCCTTGACCAAATAAAACCACAAAATGTGTTATTCCAAGCTACTAGAATGGGGGAAGGGAGGCTGAGAAAACTGTGAAACAGTATGTGAATTCAATAAAAAATAACATTCAAAGTGCAAGACGTCTGTAAGGATACTCACATTTTGGAGACTGGGATAAATACAGAAGGAACGTAACCTTTGCCTCCTCCATCTGAGGGCTTTGAGACTAAAAGTAAATATTAGAGAAATTAAATATTGCCTGGTAATTTTTTTATGTATTTGAAATTGATTATCTGCTGCAGACAATAAAATCTGAAAAAAAAGAAATGCCCCAGTTTATGCTTAAACAAGCAGCCATAAAAATGAGGGGAATTCCTGAGATTAGTCACGGAGTTCAGGTCTTAGCCACATAATTGCACTCCCTTAGTATGAATCCCTATCTCAGAGAATAATACAACAACTGATGAAAGAGGTGTCGCCTGGGCTTCAAAAACAAATATATATAACTCTACAAGCTTGGTTTTCTAGATTTTGTATTTTCCTGTGCAGTTGCCAGGGGTTTTCAGGAACGTTGTCTGCCATAGTAACTTTGTAATCACAGACTATGTTGGCAAAGGGCAGTGCTGATAAGCAACCTTTTTTTATAGGGCTCCACCGAATGAATTGAAATAAAGCCGTTTGTCCAAGCTATTTGGAAAATGTAGAATATCCTTAAAATTAAAGACACGGCATGCTACACTGTAACACAGTTACAAAGCAAATAAGCAGGATGACTTTTCAGTTTCATCTCATTTGAATGCCCGAGCACCGAATTTTGTAATGCATTGGTCAGGCAAAAAAAAAAAAAAAATCCTATTTTTCAACTTCTTCTACCCTGAGATCTATTTCTTAGCTGCTTCTTCTTGTCATCACCTCTAATGTGCCCTCTAATATCAGGGTTATATTTAAAAAAAATTAAGCTGCCTGAAGGACAGACGTGCGTTAAAACCCTCCTCTTGAACAGGAGGCTTCTTCAATTTGTTCTCTTCCTCCTCTCCCAGCGTTCCTCGCATCGCCTCTTGACTTTGCAGCTGCTTTGCAGGAAGAGTGAATAGAGAAATGAAGCCCAACCTTCACTTGGCTGACAGCTGTAGTGTTTGCCAAAGGCTGTGTCTTTGGGAATGTCTGGATAGAGGTACTTCAGGGGGTTTTCCGGAACGTTGTCTGCCATAATGACTTTGTAATCGCGCAGTATGTCGGCGAAAGGCAGCGCGGATAAGCGACCTTTGTTATAGGGTTCCACCGAATGAAAAGTTACGTCTCCTGTGAAAACACAAAGGCACCGTGACCGCTGGGAACTGGTAGATCAGCACCTCTGGCTGGCAAGTATTTTTGCCTGCTTTTCCCAGTTTATGCCGGCGTGGTATAACCTGTTTTTCCTGAAGCAAGTAGCTTTCAAGATACACTTTCCACACGCGTGGAGACAAACTGAGAGGCTGCAGTGTGCAGGTGTCCCTCCAGATGAGTGTGTATGGTTAGTAGAAAGAGCTGAGAGGTGGACTTTCAGAGCGTTGGTTTGTGTTTCAGTAAATAGGATACTTGTATCTTGCCCAAAAACCATACTAAGACTTGATACACGTGAATTCTGCTTCCTGCGTTACAGGTGTATCGCAGAGTTTGAGGTTTATGTTGTTCTTTTAAAAAATTTAAACTTACCATTTTCTAACTGATCCACCCAAGTAAAAGTAATTCCGCCCAGATTGCTTTCACTAAACCTTAATAAAAACGTTCCCGGTGTCTTGTCTTTGAGCAAAATCCGTTCCTTCTCTTTGCTTACAAATCCCATCACGTACCTGAAGCATGAAAGGAAACCATGAGTTTACTTTGAGAAAAAAAAAAACAGGCTGCATCTGGCCAAGGCCTGGCTACAAAAGCTTTACAAGGTCTCATAACTACGACAACAGCTTCACGTGGTTTATGCCTAGAGTGTGGCATCGAGCACGACGTACTATGAAGCACGAAGAAATTTATCACGGTACTTGGCTGTGAGCTGACAGAACGGATGCGTAGACCTAAACCTGCATTTCGAAGGGACTCAGTGGTGTTCCCTTCTGGCAGAAGTTATAAAGGAGAAGAGGGAGACAGAAGTATGAACCTCTTTGCAAATTCTCTTCCGCGTAGCTAAAGCTGCCGTTAGTAAAGAAAAAATGACAAAAATGCGGAGCGAGATCGATATACAGCAGTTCCCTTGTTGCTCACCCATCAATCCAAAGAGGGAGAATGTGTTTTTTGATTAAGTCCAGGATGGCTTCCAGCCAAACCCAAAAGGTAAAAGACTTTCCAGGCAAATGTTCCTAATAGTTAAAAAAAAAAAAAGCATCCATCACAAAATGCAAACAAAACAATGCGCACAAGAAGAGAATGGTGAGAGTGTTACTCATCATCCACATGACACAGTTATCTCACTTTCTAAGGAATATTCTAGTTTGTTCAAGCGGGAATGACAAACACAAACTGCTGTTTGAAGCAATGTCTCTCAGCCTGACATAAATCCAACTGATTTTTAAGATATGCACGGGAAGCACCTCATTTTTCAAGAAAAAACACCACTATGTTTGTTGTTTCTTACGGGTTATGAAATTACGTTTTGAGAGAAATGTAATCGAGAAAGTCGAGCTTCCTTCCAAGGTTCTGTACTTGTTAATACGAAGAAAATGAGTTTACCCTTCTTTCTCAATAACTTGTCTTCCCTCATCAAAGTTATTGAATATATCAACTGACTTGAAATAACTTAGATCACAACTGAGCATTTGAAAAAATTACTGTGTGCTTCATGAAAAAAATGTGTGCTTTGATAGCACAATCTATTATCTTTTACAGAAATATAGATGTAACGATGGTTTCCGGTATCTGCAGCAATGTAGCCCAAGCTTTAAACTTATAGAAATACATTTTTCTAGTTAAATTTTTACAATTAATGTTATTGCGCTGGGCTGCAAGTCCCACAAACAGCAAGTGAGACTCAGAAGCATCAGAGAAATGGAGTTAGACGTGCATCCGGGTGTTAAGAGAGAGAAGAATCTAGTTTTGCTTTTAGTACTGTACCTTGCAGAACTTTGCCCAGGATAGCTGGTAATCATTGTAACTGACTTGTTGTCCTGAGGGGGAAAAAAAAATAGATGATGAAACCAAACAGTGAGACTATTTTTCTGAAGTTTTGGAATAGATGGAGCTTGGTATCTGCATAGTTGGGTTGGGGGTGAGAACAACAGCACATCCAGCCTTGGAAAGGGTTTGAGAGGGGCGTGCTAACAGGCTGTAGATCTTTTTTTTCTGTATCCTTCAGAAGCAGCTGATAATGGTAGTTTTGGGAATATTTGCCTGATGTTTCTGCCACGCTGCACGCTCAGTTTCAGTTTTTAGCTTCAGTGTTGCTTCTCTTGGCCTTTGCTCTGCCTTGAGCCTCTATGCTTTAAGGCAACGTATTTTTTTCCTCTTATGATTCCTGC